CATTTAGATTCGTACTCATTTTTAATGCAGGAAATTTTACAGTTACTCCAAGTTTTCTTGTGGTAATATTATTTCTAGGATTAAAATATTCTATCTTTGATGAAGTGATATTTTCCCCTAACGTTTTGTTTTTCATATTGGAATAAATTAAAGTAGTGGTATTTCTCCATGGTATCCATTTAGAATTACTAATAGCATTTACAGTTGGACTTAATCCATTTGTTTGTATTGTTTCTTTTATATCTTTAACGAATAATCCAAAATTATTTTTCGTACTCTCAATAAATATATAACCAGGATTTATACTTATAATTTCCATATTTTCATCCCTGATTTTTGTTTTATTATATATTAATAATTCTGAAGAGTTGTATGCATTTCTTTGTTTAACAATTAGATGAGTAGGAGCATTATTCTTATCATAATTTATTGTATCAACTTGATTTATTGCCATCTTATAATCTTTATTTGGAATTATAATTGAATTTGGAACTTCTAGAATAATTTTGTCTACTTTCCATGTTTTTGAGTTAATCAAATTTTGCAGTTTTATACTTTCATTTTTATTTATGAATATTGTGTCATTCGTTACGTGATTTATATAAGGTATAAATGTCGTTTTAACTTCTCTATTTTTTCGATGGTTATCTGATAGAGGGTTTAAAATACTTTCAGCTGGAATTTCCTGATTTGTTGTTAATGTATTAGACATTTTGGTACTTAAGTTATTAAATTTTAAGTTTTGATGTTTATTATCAAAGTTTATTGTTGATTGATTATTATTTTTATTTAAAATATTCTTTAGAATTAAAGAATTTACATTATGTTCTTTCTGTACTAAATTTTCTTCAATATTATTTGTAAAATTTGCAGATTGTGTTGACACAATCGATTCCTTTATATTTTTAAATGGAAAATATACTTTTGGTATCGTAACAAATTGATCTGATATATTACTGCCCGTTTTATTTATAAATAATTTCATTTTTTCCGCATTTGAAGTATTAATTTCTAATGATACTGGTATTATTACTTTAAAATTCTCTTTTACTAATAATGGTTTTCTGGTTACATATGTAATTATTTGAGGAGTATGTTCTGCATCTTCTTGAGTTTTTAATTTATTAATAGTTGTTTTGATTGCATGGTCCTGAATAGTTTCATTGTAACAAAGAGGCTGTATAGATTCCTTAGCAGTAATATTCAACTTCGGTGTATTTTGTTCTAATGTTTTACCATCATTTCTCATACTCCAAGATTTAATGACTATCTTATTTATTTTAACTGCAAAAACTGTTGTAGTAGCAGATTTGTTAATACCACTGAAACTGTTATTTCTATGTTGGTTAGTTATAATACCTGTATATGTAGAAATATTTTTGCCTACAATATTCTCTATATACGACTGATTGTTACTTATTACAGTACTTTCTAGTAAGATCGGAGAGTCAGTTGGTACTAGATAATTTTTATTATCATAGAATAATTTGGTTCTACTCGTCATACTACGAGGTAAATTAAATTTACTGAAAGTAATAACGTTCGTACTTGGACTTGTTTTTACCTGTTTCCATTCTGACATATTTTTATTTAATGCTGAATTAATCCAGGATTCATTTGTAGTATTATTTATTAAATTTGATATGTCTAACCTATTGTTTGCGATAAAGGTAGTTTGGTGGAACAAATATTTATCAGGAATTGTTCTTTCTAGTACCTTGTTTACGGAAGTGGACCGATTACGATAAAAAAATAATTCATTCCATATTCTATTAGTTTTTATCTCATTTTTAATACTTTTATTTTCTTCTTTATCCATATTATTTAATTCAAAATACCTTAAATTATTTAAAATATCATCCGACACATTCACTTTCAGCATTTCTCCAATTTTCGAAATAGATATATCTGTATTCTCTTTTATTTTGTTATCATACAACTTAAGTAATTTTTTAATATTTAATATCGTATCTTTATAATTTTCATAATTTATTTGTGAAGTGAAGTTGTAATTTTTATAGCTATTCTTTGATGTATTTTCTATATTGAACTGTTCTTTGATAAAGCCCTTCACACATGATGGTGACTTTATGCCATGGTTGCAACATATATTGATATAGTCTGTGTGATTTATTCTAGTTAGTGTATCTATATACATTTTAATAGACCCATTTTTTAATAATAGTTTAGATATTTTTGTTAAATTTTTGTTTTCACTTTCCATAAGAAATGTGTATATTGACTGTAAATTACATTCAGAAACTGTATAGTTCGCTGGATATTCTTCGCTCTCCTTATTTTTTACATCGTATTTTGTATCTAAAATATCAATATCAATACTGGAATTTGAATTTAAGATTTTGTTAATTTGATTCCCGTTAATTTCAAATGGTTCACTAACATTTTTTATATTTTTCTCTTTTGTAGGATATAATGTAATAATGACTATAATACTATGGTTTGGTCTGTCTCTGATATAAAGTTTACTCTTTTTGAATAAGAAATGACGTTTTATTGTAAAGTTATGATGCTGTGGGTTCTGTATGAATAGTTTGAATAAAATATCTTTTATCATTGATTTACTCTGAATAAAGGAACTTATTTGGTTATCTTTTAATATGGATTCATTCGTGATTTCATGATGTTTCCTACAATTCTTCATTAATTGTTCATTGTCTTCACCACTTACATTACGCACATAGACAATGTTACTGGCCAGTTCTTTTCGTAAATTAAAGCATGTATTATTGTAGATATTTCTGTACAAATCAATAACTTTGGTATCTGCATCGCGTGAGTCATCCCATTGTAATGAATTTGTTTCACCATTAAATAAAACTCTTTTCTCTTTTTCCTGTAAACTTTCACGCATGCAAATACACAGGCTGTTCAATAATTTTAAGGTAACATGAAGCAAGTGCTCGTTATTCGGCGCCGCGTCCACTGTTTCCAGTATTTTTATCAACACCGGACTTTCACTAACACTATTTGTCTCCTTCGATTGTTCCACTTGCACTGTGTCATTACATTTTGTGATAAATAATATATATAATAATAAATATAGCCCCTCTCTGTTCATTTTCAATTCCTTATAAATATATATGTTTGGGACTGCATATTGTTTGTGTTGGCACCATCGAATCGGCTCGACGCGAACAATGGTGTTCGTGTAATGACATTGTTTTAAGTAACCGTTTATGAACCAAAATATTTTTTGTTTGCTTCCCGATAAGAGCGACTTGCTTACTTTAATATTACCTAAAATTGCTTATACTTGATTCCGGTTGTAAGCATGCGGTGTGCCTACCTATAATTATCTGGGAAAGATGGGATTGTTAGTAATGTGAACTGCCAGTCCCGTTACTAGCAATATGCGCTATCTGGTCGACCTCCACATGGTCCCCCCTGGAAACCATCGTGCTGATGTATTCATCACGATAAGCTAACTGACCTGTCTATCCATTCTTACCTGCCACCACTCACTGATGCCCCGCCAGCGTATACCGTTAGCGCAGGCGGGGTAACAATTTAAATATCATCCATTAAAAAAAAAGTTAAATTATCTTTCATTTAATATCACAGGCCTTTTATTTCCCTCTAACAACATGTTTTATTAAATTCAAGTTGACATAGCGAGCCAAATTGGACGTTGGCAGTCATTCAAATTGCATTGCAATTAAACTTGAACGCTTCATGCAATTTTAATTAGGAGCGTAATCAAGAAAAACGTTTTTGTATAACCTTTTTAAAATGTTAATTATTTTTATTTTTTTCTCTAAAATCTATTCTAGTACAGAGTAAATAGAACCCCACAAATGTGATAGAGTTATGAAAGAAAGAAAATACTTAAATTCTTTCATTAAATAATGTTGGCATCAACTGTTTGTGCCAAAATAAATTAAATAAATGTACTTTTATAATGTAAATTTTATAAGAAGCTGGGAGGATTGCATAATATCGCAAACATTATGCAATTCCCCTCCCTCCCCCCTCCACATTTGTACAATTAGATTCCACCAGTGAAAACTATTCAAAATACTTTTTTGAAATTCTGTTCAACCTACATAGGTTTCGTTAATAGAGACTAGTGTGGAACGACCGAATATATTATCGTATCCAGTGAGATCTTTCATGATTTTTCACGAAAGATCCTTTTGGATAGCATAAATTAGTGGGGGAAGGGATTGTTAGTAAAGGCACTACCAACCCTATTGCCAGCAATATACTTTGTCAATATGAGAATATACTAAATACCAGGTATATTCATCACGACGGGCCAACAGACCTGCTTTCATCCTCACCTCACTTTGTCCTCCCTGGTGTCCCGCCAGCATGTGCCGATAGTACAATTGGGGTTACCATTAATTAAAAAAATCCCTAAATTAGTACTACCTACTACTCTTCATATATGGAAGACGCCTGTGATATTAAATTTCTGGTACGCTTTCATTGAATACAAAGAACTCAGACGTGACTTACCGGGCTACAACTGTACATCCATAATATACGAGGTTATTGACAACTATTTTAGAATAAGAACGAAAACAGCCTAAAAAATCTTTACACCAGAGGACAACACACACAAAATGTAAACAAACTGTACGGGAATCAATATCTATGGTATAGGAGCGCCTAGTAACTACGTGTGAGCACGTAGACGGTTATTCGATGTTCCATTACGAAGAACAGAGTTCGCTAAGCAAGCTCCCCTATCTCTTGCATTGAAACTACTCAATGATATTTTGAGCCAGTATCCGCAATTGGATGTATTTGCCTCCAACTTGCTGGAGTTTCGTCGAGTGACCACAGAGTATTTGTGTTTAGATCTTTTTTGTTTCAGTTAAATCTTTTTATAATATTTTTTGTTTAATATTTTTGTGCAATATTCCTTTTTGTATGTTATTGTACTCATGCTTTCCTGGGTGAGCGTATTGGAAGACTGTAAGGCTCACCCAGTGGATGTAATAAATAAATAAATAAATATTATTGTGAATGCTAACCCAGTTTTCCATCTCAGCCTGTCGTTCCAGCAGCATCTCCTGCAGCCTGGGCCCCAGCTCTTCCATAAACCCCCGCACCAGCCCCCGCGTGTGCTCCAGCTGCTGTTGGTTGACAATCACCGCTGCGAACTCCAGGTACGAGTCCATCGTTGCCTGTAGATCTGGCACCGGTAATTTAGGTAATTGGACATTCTGAAATCAAAGAAATGAATAGCTATTTAGCTGCATCGCTTTTTTATTATTACCTGGTCGAACTCCACTCTGTTTTTATTGGTCTGGATATTTTCTTATGACTCGTATGTAAGTATTTTTATTTATTTATTTATTTAAACTTTAATGAACAGTAAAATTCTATGTACATTTGGCGGACTTAACACCGGACGGTGTTCTCTATCAGTCAACCATTGGACGAACAGACAAATAAGTAGGCGGTGCATTATTGAATAGAGGAAAAATAAAGCAATGCTTGATAAATTTATATAATATAAACATACATATAATATATAAATTAAATGAATAAATACATACAATAAATGCATACATAAATAAATACATAAAATATTACTAAATAAAACAACTGCAATAGAAGAGCAAATAGCAATCTATGACTCAAACAGAGTAACCAGCAGGAGAAGCTTAAAGGAAAAGTGAATTTTTTAAGAAATAGGTGCGCAGTTTGTGTTTAAAAGCTAGCTTGTTTAGGGTAGATCTTATGTCAAGCGGTAGTGTAAGTATGCCGTTTCTGTCCACAGTTGAACATAAGCTTCCCTTATAGTGGTTTATGCCAGTAGTTGTCACGCTTGGCAGGCGGGTTGGCACCCTCAGCTAGTCTTCTGATGATGTTTTATAGGGGACGCTGCTGCGTCTCAACCATTACTACTATCCTTATTTGTACCCATCACTGTTCGTATCCGGTATGGTAGGTCTAGAAACGCTCGAGGTAAGGCGAGAGTGCAATTTTGCATGATGCACTATTATCGGTTGCTCAACGACGGAATAGACAATCCTGCAACTCTCAGCCGTTGTTCTTTGTACGCACCCCAACGCTGCATGCGATTGCGTGCACGTCGATTACTATCGGCACCGCCGGTTCGCACCTGTACTGCTCAGTTTGCTCCCACTTATCAGGCTATTTCTCTGCTCAATTCTCTGATTGCTCAGCAGCCAGATATTGACATATTTAATGACAAAATAGATATATTTTTAAAATGTTGTACAAAATTTGTAAGTTTGTAAAATAAACCTATGGCTCACTACACGTTTTGGGAGACTGTAAGCGTGGTGAGTAATTTTCAAGTAAATAAATAAATTAAGTTCCCCTAGTCGCCTCTTACGACACTCATGGGAAAGGAAGAATAGGTCTATTCTATATCGGGACCACATTTCAAAAATGTTCTTCTTCTTCTTTCTTTTTTTTCTTCAAAAGGGGGGTAAAGAGGTTTCTTCAGGGTCGGCAACGCGCGCGTAATACCTCTGGTATTGCAGGCGTTCATAGGCTACGGTAACCGCTTACCATCAGGTGGGCCGTATGCTTGTTTGCCACCTCAGTGGTATAAAAAAAAAGTATATGATACTGACCTGAAATTCTGCGTCGTCGCCGCTGTAGCCCTGCGTGCTGAGCCATCGTTTCGGCAGCGACAGCAGCGACTCCCCCCATGCTGCAACAAATAATGTCAACATTAATATCTTTGAAAATAAAAATAAAAAATACTATATATAACGTTTAGCATTTACCCGTGACTTCGGCTACGTGACCGGTACATGTTAACTAACCGGGTATGTGTAATCCGTATTAACTATGGAAACAACAGAAATACTCCTCAGGTTGACCACTAGATGGAGTTGTTATTTTAGTTTGTGCATGTTCTATGACACGATGTTAAGATTTCTAACATGTGTATATAAGCTCAAGAATATATAAAATAAAATTAATTTCCTAAACTGTCCTGACGGAGAATCGAACTTGACACATCCTTTAAAGCAGTTTGTTTAACACTGTACTACAGGAGGGGGAAGGGTTGTTAGTAATGGGGATTAGCAATCCTATTACTAGCATTATACTCTATCAGGTCGACCTCCTCGCGGTACCCCCTGGAAACCATCGTGATTGATTCATTGTTGTCCCGCCAATGTATATCGGGTGTTACCATTCCATTATCATCCATTAAAAAAACACTACGCAAGAAGAAAGAAAGAAATTGTTAGTAATGGGATCTAATTCCACCTTTACTAACAATTTATACTATCAGATCGACCTCCACATGGTTCCTCCTGGAAACAATCGTAGTTTATTCTTGTTGAATTAGTCACGATAAGCCAACAAATCTGCTTCATCCTCACCTATCAACCCTCACTGGTGCCCCGCCAGCGTAAACGGATAGCACAGGCGGGGTCACTGTTTCATTTACACCCATTAAAAAAAAATACTGCGCCACAAACCTGGTCGAAAATACACTGAAAGTTAAATAACTGCTAACTGTGATATATGCATCGGTATAAAGTCCTTCGATATAAATTATCCGGTTGGAGGCCGGCCGGCACCGGAAACATCGAGAGCCGGATATGAGCTTCATGGGGCAGCAAATCTTACATGATCACGCTGGATACGTAACGGTTTCATTATTAAAAATGTAATATATTGCGTTTTGCTAAAGGTAAAGTACAAAAGACAACATTTACCTATTTATTTTAATATGTTTATTTAAGATGTTAGCAAATGAAATTAAATGAAATATTTATTTGCTTTAAATAGACATAAAAAAGTCCATGTGACAGAACTTTTTGGCATCTGTTTAATTGCCATAAAATTGTAGGCATGCAAATTTTATGTATTATTTAAATAAGGATACAAAATTATTGTTGGTATGTTTTTTTTTTGAATGGGTGATAATGGAATGGTAATCCCGCCCGCGCTATTGGTATATACTGGCGGGGTGCCAATGAGGGATGATAGGTGAGAATGAAAAGGAAGTCCCATCATGATGGGCTAACTGATCTTGCATTCAGCACGATGGTTTCCAGGGGGACCACATGGAGGTCGACCTGGTAGGGTATATTGTTAGCAATGGGACTAGTATGCATTACTAACAATCTCTCTCCCCATCGGTATACATTTTTTTTAATGCGTGATAATGACCAATGAAGGATGAAGCAGGCCAGTTAGCCCATCATGACGAATTCAACAAGAATTGTTTACGATGGTTTCCAGGGGGAACCACGTGGATGTCGACCTAATAGAGTATATTGCTAGCATTGTGGCTGTCAAACTCCATTGTTAACAATCCCTGCAAGCATGGCACCAGTGATGGATGATAAGTGAGAATGAAAGCAGGGTGACATATTTCACAAGTAACCGCGATAGTTTCCAGGTGGAACCGCGTGGAAGATGACCCGATAGTAACATTACTAGGAATGAGGCTGTTAACAGCCTGTTACTGACAATCCCTTTCCCCCAAGCTATAGATATTAAGAATATAATATATTTATATCACCAGAGGGAGACTGTACAAAAATCGATTGCTTGGGTACCTCTGTCCCATTCGTGTTTCAACTGTAAAGCAGTTGTGTTTGCATAGCTGTGTTTCGGTTTGAAGGGTGGGATATGGCGTGAATTTACTGGGTACGGAGGAATCACACCTGAGTCCTCAGGACTAAATGTATCATGGGCGAAACAGTATACTCTGTTATGTCCATGGTACTGCTCATGTCTATAGGCGACGGTTACCACTTTCCATCAGGTGGGCCGTCAGCTTGTTTGCCATTCTAAGTTGTATAAAAAAAATCTTTTTTTTTCCATTTATTCAAGAAAGTTACATCCCTATAAATATCGTAATACCCTCCAATCGTGTAATATTCTACCGATTCCCCTGACTTAAGAAAAACAGACAAATGGTCGGCTCCAGTCCAACGTCTACCGCGTAACACTGCAACGGAATGCTGTTTTGTGCCTACTTACTGTGTGGAGAACTCGTGAACCCTCTGGACATTCCCTATTATCATTCCCAAGTGTCGCGAGTGATTGTTTACCTAACATATATAGAGTGGTTTTCACAAGTAGACCAAAGTCGATTGCTTGGGTACCTCTGTCCCATTCGTGTTTCAACTGTGAAGCAGTTGGGTTTGCATGGCTGTGTTTCGGTTTGAAGGGCGTGATATGGCGTGAATTTACTGGGTACAGAGGAATAACACCTGAGTCCTCAGGAAGTGCAACGCACGGGGGGTATCATGGGCGAAACAGTATACTCTGTTATGTCCATGGTACTGCTCATGTCTATAGGCGACGGTTACCACTTTCCATCAGGTGGGCCGTTGTCCCCCAGTTATTTACTGGGCGTCAAAAATCAAGACTAAAGATCCCGAAACTGGTCGAGCTTTTTCAATTAAATTACACGTAAGTTAAACTGGTAATTGTTAAATTTAAAAAAATACAATTATTATATTAAGTTATTACATTATAGATAAAACAAAATATGTTTAATCTCCTTTGTACTACACCATAATGTCTATAATTTTTTGTACATAGAATAAATAATAAACTAATAAACTCAGATTTTAATTCAATTGGATTTTAAAACTAAATAAAATTTCCTATTTCCTAAACTCGTTCGTGATTTATTATTATTCTCGGACATTCCTTATTTACACTTGACACGTAAAGCATGAGTAAAGTTGAAATAATTGGCAATTCTCGTCTGCAAACAGTCTGTTTGTATAGAGCGTCACCGGGGACTGGGACAGAGTGGATCGAGTTAAGATTTAAAATGTAGTACCAATATTCTTAGATTGATCGACTACCGTCCAGATAACAAAACATGTTTAAACTTATTTGCCCGCTACTTCGTACAAATGGATTTTGGAAGTAGGGAAAGCAAAGAATTAGACCATTTTTAAACACGATTGATTTAAAATTAGACCTTCAGAAATACAACTTTACTGGGGGCCTACCGTAAAATGAAATCCGAATTTTCGGGCTCAATTTCGTATTTTTGTTCGTACCTAAATCGACCCAGTAAATGGAGTATGTATTATGTAATTTTAACATCAAATTTCTATTTCGTTCGTTCCCGAAATTTCGGATAATATTTCATGGTAGGCCCTCTGTTTAGGGTCAGTTGTCGGGAATATACATTTTTTAACCAATCTAAGTATATTTTAACTACGAGAACTCTAATGGAATACATCGCAATGAATCACAGCTGTATTACCGTTGATTAACAGCCCTCAGAGATGAATAGCTCATCAGAGCGGGGGCAAAATGAGTCGGTCGCAAACACGGAGAGGTCGTTTGTGAGCCGAGGACGGACGGGCGGGTGGACATTGAGCGATCGACCGAGCCGACGGGACTCCAAATGAAACTTATTAATGTGCAACTAGCAAAAAAATTTGAATCCAATATTAACTACAAAACTAGAGAATCTATTAGGAGTGATGGCATCTGACTGTTATGGGCGATATTGAAATAGGCAAAATACCTTTTTTTTCCATCGTCAATGTCCAAAGCAACCCAATATATAGATATCGGAGTAGTACCGATATTTCCCATATTTTAAGTCAATGTGTGTGTGTGACACACACATACGCACGCACGCACGCACGCACGCACGCACGCACGAACGCACGAACGCACGTACGCACGCACATTCAATTGAAGTGAAATTACAGGGTACGAAAGCATAACACCATATTCCTTAAGAATAGGTCCTCAAGAGAGGGACAAGCTATATACAAGCACACCTATAGACAAGCGACGGTCATTGCTTTCTATCTGATAGGCCGTTGTAACTCGCTTGCTAATAGAAAAAAATACTGTTACAAATCGAGAACTTCTTTCTTTTAAAGTCGGTTAGTAAGATATTAATCTTTCTTCGAAAAACTAAAGATAGCAAATGTATTAAAAAAAAAACCTATTCCGTTCAAACGAATGTTAAGAAATGTAATGGCTTGACTTTGCCGGGGGCGACAGTTGTGAGCTAGATTGCATTTGTTGGATTCCATTTGCAGACAAATGGCAGTTTCATTTGGATACCTAACTCAGTTTTATAACTTAGTACTTTATATACGTTATTTAATTTAGACGTGCAGTTTTAAATAGATTAAAATCCCGCTACTGAATGAAGCAAGTATAGGACTTTGTAATGACTTTTTATTTTTGGCACATCAACATTGGATCTTACAGAGAAATAACACCTGAGTCCTCAGGACTATCATGGGCGAAACAGTATCTCTAATATATTCATGGTACAGCTCATGTCTATAGGCGACGGTTACCACTTTCTACCAGGTGAGCCGTCAGCTTGTTTGCCATTCTAAGCTTCTAAGTTTTGCCATTTTATTTTACGTTCAAATGCTTTAGTATTGTTTTAATATTTGTCATTGTTAATGTTAATTAAACTGCATCTCATTCATGTTGTGTTAACACGTTTTAGAATATCACTCTTGACCAATGTTTTGTATGTGTATAATTAACTATGTACATTTTTATCTGTTGTGTTTTCCAAATAAAATAAATAAATAAATAGCGATCTCTTTTTGGAAGCCTCTTAAAAACCCGCAGACTTTATCGGTATAACTTACATTTCCCCCCGTTACCTTGAGGGTAATTATATTCCCCTTCCAGATCCTCAACCCCCCCAGGTGTCTGTTCACACGAGGATCG